TACTCGCGTACACGCTGTTCTTCTGAATCTGTACCTCGAACGTAGTCTTTGTAAAACGCCAGATAGCTTATCGTCATCGATAAGTGTGCGCCAGGTGCTTAGGTTACTGGTGTTTATTACATTTTCGCATTTCCGGTAAGCACCTTCTTTTATTCGCTAAGAGTTCTTGCTGCAATAATTGAAGTGGCAGATAGGTGTAGCGGTCGTTAGGGTGAAAAGCATGGCTGTAGAATGTTCTTGTTCCGCGAATAGTATGCAAAAAATGGGAACTATTTGGTGTAAAGTAACTGACCCTTGGGTAGGATGAAGAATGCAGATGGAAAGTTAGGAATAAAAAATCATTACTTCTTCAATAAATATCTATAAATAATTATTTAACTAAAAACTGCTTACTGAGCAGAGAAATCATATCTGTTCAAAGCTCTTCTCACGTTCCGTGGTGTATGTTTCCGTTATCGTAGTATTTTTTCTGGAAATTTACTTGCCGCTCAAATTTAGTCTTTGGTACGTGCAGGTTTCTCACTGCCGTACGTGTGATGGTTTCACGAGGGACTGGTCCTGACTGATTTATATCGTTATGCCCGTGGAACAAATCTGATTTCAAAGGTTTTAAGGAATACCCTGATATTACGAATACAAGAAGCCGGTGTTCATGTTTTTGCATGAAGCATCGTGTTGTCTGTCGTACAAAAAGTTGATGATCTTTCGATTAACTGATTTATGAAGTTATAGTATTTCAGAAACTAACTTTTTCTGATAGCCTGAGGATAATATTCTTTCAAGTATTCTTTGTTGTCTGTATTGGTAATTTGAAAGTTTGGCATCTTAAATCGCCATAGACCTTACTCTGAAATATGGGCATGTTGCAGAAAGCTAACAACCATGCCTTCAACGACCTACGCTATCGGCTGGAGGCGAACTATGTCTCCTTTCATTTATGATATTTTAATCTTTGCGAGATCCAGATGGGCTAAAAAACATTCATTTTCAAGACCTTGCCATTAAAATGTATGAATATTGGTTATTGTATAATATGCCTGAACGCTTAACATTGTATACGTAAAATAATTTCTTGATTATTTTCTGTCTGTTCTATGGCACTTCAGGAACGAGTTGCGTAAGTTTATAAAATTTATTGATTAATATGATTGATCTCGGACTAGCAGCGATTTAACATAAGAGAAGCCCAAATTTATGACATCGGGTCAGATAATTTTTTAAACAATTTGCACCTTTCTGTAAATGTAAATTGATTTTCGTTGGATTGACCGTCTTTGGTATTAATAGCCGAATCCGAACATCTGAGTAAGTAACGGCTGCTGTGATATAACGCAGAGTAACTCAGTTGTGTGCTTTCGACTATTTCATGTTCGCTTTCCTAAGATTCATCTTTTGTGTCAGGTTCATCAAATCAGTTGTCAAACCGAACCTAGTTGTGTCTGTATCGACCACAAATTGACATGTCCGGATTCCCATATGAAGGATGTTCTTCCGAAAGTCCGTTGATTTCCGTAGAGAGTACGAATGAATGGCAGATCTACGATATCCTCTACGATGGCCAAGAGCGATATTTACAGTAAGCGCATCTAATGGCGTTTCGAAAATGGTTCGATTGAAATCATAAAAAATGTTTAGGCCGCTTACGTTTTCCGATCACGTATCTAAGCTAGCTCATCTAGTTGATTGGATGAAACTGCAGCAGGACGAAAATGGCGAAACCAGCGATGTCACCGGTGAAGATGCCAAGGCGGTGCAGAAAACCGGAATCGGCCCATGGGAAGGAGTCAGCAAACAACTTCAGTAAGTGTTATGCTGTTGCAAATGCACCTTCTTCCATCCAGGCCTATGCTTGCTGCGAAGTTGAAGTGAAAGCTTATCTTACCTGTGTAGCATGGCTATTGAGGTTTCGATACCTTGCCTTGGAAGCTAGTGCATCAATGATTTTGCATCTCAGTTTATTTCACTGTGTGTGGAATATAGTTCAAGCCTACATTGTAAAAACGGAAAACTGTTTCCTATACATTTTTAGTACAGCTGACAGTAATGATGCCGTGATGTTATTCAGAGCCTAGTGCCAGTTTCATTCATTCGTTCATTAGGATATTTCCAAATGGATTAATTTCCAGGTTTGTTGTTAATTCGGAGAATTGACAGGGGTAGAGTTTTTTTACCGGCGGTATTTAGAACTAACGGTTTGCTAGGAAATTCGTCACAACAAGGTTTAGTTTGTGTATGTATGCCTAAGAATGAAGAATATTTGTTAGTGTATGTGTGGTATATTATTGTTCGACCCAAAAATGGTAATGTTTTACACCTATGCACTGCAGGTTCTAAAACATCATGGAGCCTTGGTCTTCTTAAGCGTGTCCCTAGTCTACTCGAAGTAAGAGGACGGTGCTTTACCGTGAAAATCCGGAAGATTGGCAAGGAAGAAGACAGTTTTATTATATGGTATTAACAGCAGATCATAAGATACAGACTGAACCGTCAGCGAAGGTTTTTCACTTAATAAATCTACGCAGTTTTCGCTTCCGTTAACATACCGTGTTTTCTACGGTTTTTCAATCTTTGTTCAGCAGTTCGAAGCTTTATCTTAATTCTGAGTTACCTATTTAAAAACCTGACGAACCTGTTTTAATGATGTTGCTTTCTTAAGCTTAGCATTGACCGAAATGAACGTGCTGCTGGACTTGATCAACGTCGCTATGACCGGAAAGTATATGGTTTTTGACCCGGTGTCCCATGACCCGTCAGACGAAAATCGGTCCGGCGGTAAGGCTGATGCTTACACGTTGGTTTCAAAGCGAAAGGTATGGATATACAGTTTGTACTTGGTTTTCCATGCTTTCATTTTGGTTTAGTAGTAACTGTGGTCTGTGGCCCTTTTATCGTCAGTTGGGTTGCTGGGAAAGATTTTTTTGAATGGGATAATTACCATCTACATTCCATCAGTACATTCATTGTCAGTCCTTGTCTGATATGGTAGATATTTCTTGACCAGATAAGGCATGTGACAAGAAACGCAGCACATGTGAATATGTAGGCTGCTTTTAGAAAATTTCTTAAAGTTTGCGTTAAGATGAGGAAGATGTTGACATGAGGAAGATGTTAAGATGAAGAACAGCGGGTCACGGTTAGAGAATTGCAGAATTTATATATTTTTTCCACATAGACATGTCATTACTTTGCTGTTCTTTAATAAAATAAATTTTGTTTAAGTCGTTATGCTTGGCCAGTAGTGTCCTTCTTGATTTCGTCGAAAGACAGAAGCAGAAACTAGGAGTGCAGCAATCGCAAAACGACGAGCAAAGCTTCTTCAGGGAACTGACAAATCTAAGACGAGGATGGCGGTTGAAAAAAACTGGCGATGTGATTTACGGTGATCTGAGCTATCGATCATGTAATTTTTAACTTTATGGAAGAGATTTAGAATTTTTATTACACGCTGATTTTAGTTGGTCCAAAGTTCCGTCCCAACGCGACGTTCGAAGTTCATAAGAAGCAAACGAAGAACGACACGCAGAATATGACGACGGGTACAGGGGCCATCAACGGGGGCTGTTCATCTCTTATAGACTTGGTGATTCCACACGATTTGGCCGAGGAATGCGTGCTTAAAGTGTTTATCTTTGACGAGTCGTGTTCCGTGCCGATCGAAATGCTGACATCGCTGGATAAGTCTAGTTTCAGAAGCAACATAAGGAACTCCTGCAAAGAGGTGTACATGTGGCAAGAACGTCTTGAAAAGGCACAGAAAACGTTATATCACAAAGACATGTTCTCTGAAGTGAGTAACCGCAGGTCAATATCTACTTAATCAGCCTCTGCGATACCACTTTATTGTCCATAAACCACCTATTTTGCGTTATGTATATATCATTGAACCTTTTATAAATGTATTTGGTTTTGGCTTGTATTCTTTCAAGACATTGCTGGACGCCCTGTTGCAGCATTTCTTTTCTCCTAGTTGCTTATGGAGGCCATGAAAATAAATCAGTGCTCCCTGTGTTATTTAAGAATCTGCAATGCTACGTGCGTGTTATGTCAGTTTGTTCGTTAGAGTAGACTTATGCTCATCAGGAACGATGTCTCTCAAGTTAGTACTTACTATATCCTGCTACTTAAACATTATATCATGACTTCGGTACGCACGGAGTATATCACTTGGCGCATACTGCACTGGGTTGGGGCATTTGTTTCAGTATAACATATATAGCATACAATATTTCAGAATAATCGATATCACGTTGTCAGTAATATTTTCACCTCAACCTGAAGGAATTAGCTACAGTGTCTGTCGTTGCCGTTTCGATTGTTTGCCATGGGCTGCAAGACTTAAATTTACTTGTCTTACGAATTAAGTTTTCTTGTCATGGAAACTTGAATTGCACTCCCATCGTTTCAGTTGTCAAAGGAAGCTGTCCATTTAAACTACCGCTGCTGCAACGTGAGAGGGGACTCAGTAATGGTAAAGCTGGACGCCACACATTTGCTGTGCATATTTTTGACTTCGAAGTACAAAAATGTTGTGCCTCCCAAAGTCGTTCAAAGCGATGAGGTAATTATTGCTTGTGTTCGTTGATAATCTTTTTGTGTAACAGGCCATTCGGCTGTTGTTTCAGTCCAGCACTTCGTGCCACTCGCTGTTCGTGTTGGAGCACAGCCTGTCGCAGCTGTACTGCAAAGGTATCGAGAGCTCATGCGAAGCGGTCATTATGCGACCAGTGTCCACTCCGCTGACCACTCAATCAAAGCGGCTACGGCTGGCAGGACCGGAGGCGATGAATGTACGCCAGATATGCGACTTTGAAGACGACAGACTTCTGCTCGAACAGATCATTGATCAGGCTTCTCATTATCTCTTGCTCCAGAAGTAAGAGTGCTAGTCTCTTATGGTAGTGTATACGTATGTGAAGTGGTGATGGAGTGTTTACAGCATCTCCTTATTTCTTGGATTGTCAGATCCCTTCAGTAATTTTTTTGCATATGAGATTTGTTGAATTGTTGCTGGGATGAAGTTGCTAAAATGCATCAGTTGGAAGCAGACTGGCTTATGAGCCACTGTTCTCCAGGTCGAGACATGTTACACTGCCGTGGTTTGAACACGTGGTGGTCATAAATCCTGCAGCGGTCATAGATCGACAAGAAACATGTCAGGAAACAAGTGTCTCGCTTTGCGTCGTCTGTTACCTACAGTGTTTGCATTCAAACCTAGCCGTGGGAGCATTTTCAGTTGACGTTAAATCTTATTTATTGAGAAAACTTTTGCAAGCTGTGCTCTTTGCGGTTAGGAGGAGATGGGGTCTTTCAGCAGCACTTAACAGCACATGTTTCAGTTTCAAACGTTCTCCGGTTTGTCTCATCACTCCGCATTGTTTCGAATCGACGGGTACTCAGGCATTGTACATAATGCGTCTCAGGCAAAATATGGCAAAGTACGGTAGCGAATGCAGCTAAAAACCACTCCTTTCACAGAATAGACGATATTGATATCACTTAATATTGTCTCAGGCTTCACTTAATCCTCGTGGCATGAGTTTTATGCATTTCTTTCCGTTTCCCATGTTGTATGAATATTACAATATTATAGTCGACTTTCCTCGGTCATCCATTTCACTGTACCATTTTCCATTCACGTTTTTGGAACAGCAGATTCAGAAGGCTGTTCAGAATACACGATTGAATTCCATAGCTCTACAAAATCAGGCATAATAAAATTTCTCTCAGCTATGAAAATTCACCTGTTAATTTCTAGCGCTGACCGGTTTCACCAGAAATATTAAATATCGTTTACATCAATAGTGACGCTGACGCACTGCTTAACGGTATAGAAACCAACGTTTATAGTTATTGGGGTGCCAATCTTCCTTTTCATTTCTAGGATGGGTTAGACCTGTGATGCCGATCATTTTATGTAGCTTACGGTTCGGCGCTGATCTCTCTTTTTTGTTAGTGTCTTAAAAGGTAAATGCCTGCGGCTATGTTTTAAATGTGGTGTATAGCCTCATGTTTCGTTTCCCATGAAATAGTACTAATCAGTGAACGTCGGAAACATGAACGGCGAATGACCCACCAAAGTTGAACGAATGATTTACCAACCGTGAGGACGACGCGTTCCTTGTCTAAAGCTGTTTAAGTGAGAATCCATTGGTCAGGCACACAGCTGGCCGTTTCTGTAGTATTTTTGCACCAGACAGATATGCGCAAACAATTGAGCGTGTCCCAAAAGTCTGTTGTGGTTGATAGTGTTGAAAGCCTTAATGTAATCCTAGAGATATTAAAAGCGTAGTAGCTGGTCACATTTCTGAGATTTCTCTATCTCTATTTTTGCAGCTATAAATTATGTATGAATTGACTGATTATATTTTAGGTTTCGAGTAGCGTTATTGAGCTCTGTCCCTGATTCAGTCAGTCTTTTTCTTAGCTCACTATTTGCTTCCGGCTACGGGGACACCAGTTCTGAGCGTTTTATCTGCCATTCAGGCTAGTTCTACGAACTGGATTTACTCAAAGTGTCAGATGCTCCGTGCTCAGTGTACTCACTTCATCTAGGCTGAACTAACTGTTGGCCATCTGGAATGTGTTTTCATAGTGCTGTATTCTTTCAGTCTTTTCTAACATTTTCATCACGTGCCTAACCCATTGCAGTTGCGATCTATTTCGACAACGATGGCTTCTGAGAAACGTAAAGCCTTAGTCTCTTGAAAGCACAGCATTTAGGTATTTAACTTCACTACTGACATTTTAAACGTTGTCATTATATCCAGTGTTATACAGTCGTACTTGATCATCCTTCATGCATAGACTTTGAATTGATTGCAGGACAAAAGCTGCGCTGGAAGAATTCGCTGCTCGATGTATCGAACCGACCATCTCGGTGTATTGGACGCCGGAAACGAGCAAATACGTTTCGCTTGCTCGCATTCACATGATGACTCCGTTTTATGAGTTTTGTAGCAAGTACGTTCCGCATAGTTTTTGAATACACAGATGTAACCATTCACGTTTGTTTGCTTAAGCATTCAATTCTTCCACTGAACTGACAACCAAAAATAATATTAAAACAATTGACGAGGAAGTCTTCAGTTATGCTGGAAGTACTCTCTGCCTCATTCCACGAATATTTGTTTTAAGGGCCTTTTGCCTGCGAACATGACGACAAATTTTTAAGCTATCAGCTGTAAAGCGTCATTTAATAATATTGGTAGATGCGGATTTCATCGATTATAACATCCAGTTATAACTCATGGTACTTTCGTACTACTTCGTAGTCGTTACTTCGAAATGGCTTGTTCATTTCACAGGTTACTTAAAATTTGATTTAATGACTACGTTAAAGTAGATATTAAATACACGCTAGCGGGCAATATGTTAGCATTTCTGTTAGTTACTCTAGTAGATAAATTGCATATTGTGGTCAACTTTGAGAATACATCTACTTGAACTGGGTTCCTTATAATAAGGGAATGTACTTATTTTGTACATTATATTTGCATTCTTCAAGTACAAAATGTTTCCTGAATTTTGAATTAGCCATTTTTTGTAATGCTTTCGTTCAACAGCAGCCATTGTCTTTCATGACTTTACCAAAACATCGTAGTTTTTCGCTTTTGCATCGTTTTCGAAAGGAAATTTAAATGTTAAGTTGATTTACAGGAAGTAAAAGAAATATTTGTAACTGTTGGGATATCGGTGTTGTTTTCACTTTCGTGATGGGGTGGTAAAGTTAATCGTGGGACACTGATTTGCGTTTAAAAACAAAGTCGATAGCAGCTATTTGGCAAGTGTAACTTGTAGTCTCGTTTTCTTCCCATGGGATGGTGCCCACTTAACGACCTAAGAACGAAGAATGGCGAGTGACCTGATTGGGGCTCGAACCCGGGATCTCTTCCGAAAACCATACTCTGCTAACTGAACAACCCTGATCTGCAGGTTTTGATGAAAGATTGTAACAGTCATCTGGCAACCATTTTTTCTGGCGACTGTAGCCATTGTAATAATTTTTTGTAATTCAAATAAAATATAAATTACGTTATTATCTGCTGTTTACCTTTGTCACACCTTAGAGCCATGATTTCGTTAGAAGTGCATGTCAAAACGCTTCGTGTTACGATGAAAGATGGAGAAACGACGGAAATCACGGAAAACGTCGACGAATTGATCAGCTTATTAGAAGCTCAGGTTAGTGCCATGATTTTTATTAAGAGGTACATGTGTTATGTCGGAAAACCATGTTCAGCTATTAGGATCAGGGGATGAAGATGAGGAAATCAGTCATAGAACTGAGGAACATTTTCTGCTTTCAGTGAATCGATTATGGTTATGCATCCAGCATGTAGCAGAATTTTGCTAATTTGAGATCATTGAGTGCATCATAGTTATTTTCCTTGTCAAAGTTCACAAAAACATTAAGGTATTTATACAAACTGACAGTTACTGACACCGATGTAAAATTATCCCAAAAATTTGAAATACGGCTGTTTTTTACAGCCAAAGATTTGAATGTGAATTCAGTAAAGTAGATATTTGACACAGAGAATTCCTTAAGATTTGACTTACTCTACGGAGTAGGACTTTCGACCAAGCTTCCTCTG